GCGCAATGTCACGTAACTAGCNACGGAATTATTACATATTTCCATATTATATATCGCAGTGAAAGCAAGTGTCAGATATAGCGCTGAGCCTGCAAATTTGAAAATGGGACACTGAAACACTGACAGCAACAAAGACGTTGTTTGTACAGCATGAACTTGGTACCATAAGGCTATATCGTATGCCACCAATGAAGTACAGACATCAACAAAGAATTCAGCATTTCAAATAATATTAGTAAAATTGAGACAACCAAAGTAATTTTCACTTTAAACACCAATCAGAACAAAAATAAATATAATACTAAAACAGGCATTAGAATAAAAATTACTGGGTCTAATTCATCCCGCCCGAATGGAAGATGCAGAAGGCGGGGGAACAGATAATTCTGCATAATTCAGAATTTCCGTAATTTATTATCTACAACCTACGATCAGTATATTTGAGTAGAGTCATTTCTGATTACAGGAACCAGCAATGTATGAATTCTCGTACCAGGTGGAGGATGCAGCCTCTGGCAGTGACTTCGGTCACAGGGAGGAGCGTGAGGGAGGCTCTGCGTGGGGAACTTACGAGGTGCTCCTGCCTGATGGCAGGAAGCAGATCGTCGAGTACCAAGCCGATCAGAACGGCTACAACCCCAAGATCCGATATGAGCAAACTGGATACGCTGCTTCAAGGGGAGCTGGTGGACCATACTAAATACAAGAGTAATCACCGCGTCAAAATATGTCGATCAATGCAATTCGCAAATCTTTGCTTCCTGTATATATTGCCAAAACAACTGTATGCCGCATATCATATACAAATCCTACATATGCATAATACTCCTCAGCGCAGATATTGTTAGCAGTTTCAGACTTGCGGTACTACTTCATATTGTATACGTGCGGATTATTTCTCATCCTTATTTTAACTTTCTTTCCACCTTCTGACACTTTCGTTTCTTCATATCTCCCGAATTCACAGCTTCGCACATTACTTACGTTTCATCCAAAGCCTTGATATCTTTCAGTTACCTACCCTGTTATCCAGGTGAACATAAATATATTCCTTGCTTTGTTATAGCGATCAAGGGAAAGTTCAATGCCGATACAGTTTAAGAAAACTGACCTTTGTGTGAGCCTACGTGTATGCATGAATTGAACATATGGAATCACTCCTATGCACGGACAATGAAAGTTTATTCTTTTAATTATTTGATTATCAACATATTATTTCTTTAAGCCATATGGTAAATCTCTACGTTGTCATGCTTTATATCGTACCATTTTCTTATAGCAACATACTCAACACTCGTACAATAAAACAGGAACTACTGCCTTTACAAATCTGTGAATATAATTTATAATGTAGAGAGAACTACAAAAGGAAAATTATTTCTGTATACATATATATCACATTTAATATACTACGTAAATATATGCTTATTAGGCCAGTGGTTTTCTTAAATGTATGTATTTGAATTAATTGTAAAACAGTCGTTTGCTGTGTGTTTTAATTTTGAGTGAATATTTGAATGTATCTAGATTTCTTTATAGAGATTTTTGTAATAAAAAGCGCAAAGTTACCACATATTCGTTGTCCTTCATATATTGAAAGAAAGGCGATTCTGCTGCCACACTAGGCGCAAACATTCTTATCCGTACCACACCTCATCCAAAACAACCTTGCCTCTTTTGTGTTATAACAGTGACCACTTCAACTATCTTATTGCAAATACATCTCTGCTAGTTCCACAGATAAATGTGACAAGTTTTACTCTTAGCATTATAGTAAAAAGCAGTGAAATAAAATTCAATAATTTCCAGAAGCCTGATTTATTTCAGACTTTGCAATCTGCATGGCAAAGCTAACAAGAACTACGAATTAATAAGTATACTACCTAGGGGCGTTCCGTAAATAATTCCTCCTATTTTTTTGTGTTAATATGTAACGTCTGGGCTGAATGTTGGTGGTGTTCTAGTAANCTCATCAGAAATTGATAGTCACTATCCTGCTTCATTTGAGAGCTCTTTTCGAAATAGCTCAACTTTTTAGATTCTATTTCGAAGAATTTGTCATCGTAATTAATTCTTTTCTTTCCTCTTTTTAGCGGACTTTTGAAATGCTCTTTTTGTGCCGGAGACGTATTTACAGGTGCATCATTCTCGATATCTGATTGAAAATCTGGAGTAGAAAATGCATCATTATATTCACTTTGTGTTGTAATATTATCAGTGCCTGTCTCAATACAGGCGTCCGCAATGTCAGGAACACTACTCGACAGATTTCTCGGTTGAACAGTATCAGTTCGTAGGTGGTGAACGCAGCTCTTCGTCCGAAAAATCCAAACCAATCTGGATATTTCGCAGTTCGCAAGTATACGCGCGTTCACGGACGAATAGTGCTGCTACCAATGGACGCACTCTAACCTGATGCAAGCCGTTAGGATCGTTCGTCCGTTTCCGTGCGTCTTCGGACGAACTCCTCATCGCAACTTTCCGCAGCTTTCCGCTTCCAGTGGACGAGAGGCCTAAAGGTTGAACCTTCCCGCCAATGTACTATTAGTTTGGTTGTCGTGCGACAGATAGCGACAGCAGAGCAGTCTACCAAAATGGCGTCTGACATAGAAGTGCGTATGAAAGAGAAATGTGTTATTGAATTTCTCACTGCCGAACAAATTGTACCCATTGACATCCATCGACACTTGCTAAAGGCGTACGGAGACAATACAGTGGAAGTCAGCATAGTGAGGCGGTGGGTAGTGCGTTTCGACAGTGACGAAAGTGAAGTGCACGACAAGCCACGCCTTGGGCGTCCCTGCTCAGCTGCCACTCCTCACAATGAACAGCGCCTCATCCATACAGATCAGCAGATAACGACCAGGGACTGTCAATTCTGAACGCTACAAAACGACGCTGACTAAGCTGAAAGCCCGCATTTCCCGAGTCAGGCCAAAGAAGCAGACAACCTTTCGCTTGCAACACGATAACGCTAGACCCCATACCAGTTTGGCGAACAAGGCGCACATTGCAAAATTTGGCTGGACTGTCCTACAACATCCACCTTATAGCCCCGGTTTAGCACCTTCAGACTTCCATNCCATATATGGAGTGATTTACAAGAGGACGAGTCACAGTATTCTGGTTATTTTCGCATGAAGCAAGATACATTTGAATACATATTAGTACTTCGGTTTCCCCTGC